TCATGCACTTCAAGTGTATCTTGCAGCTGTTTGTATAATATTCTACCATAATGTGCATGCCATGTTTGTCTATTATCAACATTAACTAAAAAAGCCACGGTTGATGTAAGATGTATACAGAGTTTGATTCATTGACAGATATCTTGGGGAGAAGAAATTAATGCACATTTACATTTACTCCTTACTGCCCACCCTGTCTTATTTTTTTACAATACTGGTCTGTATTCAGCACCGTAACATGATCCACTTTCATCTAATGCATGCATTCATAAATGACGGTGTCTTTGAAAGGAGAAAAAATGTATGTGACTTAAAACTGATTAATGTGAATGTATAAATTATAAATGTCTAGACATTATAACCAAAAATGGAAACTTGTGCTGATGTGCAGTGATGGAAAAGATACAGCCTAAAATGTTTAGGGTATTACATTGAAAAGCTCAAATGTAAATAACACATTTTAAAGCAATGATTTTACTTACACAACAGGCATGCCTAATTGTAACAAACATTACTGTAGATCACATTCTAAATTTAATTTTGTTCCAAAAATCATACATCATATGTCATCATTTTAGATAGAAAAATATTCCCTCAAAATGAATGAGTATAATATAATACTGTAATAACACAAAATAGCATACTCCCTTTACATATACCAAGCCATAATTCACAATTTACCTCAGATGTGGAAAAACAGCAGCCCCTCTGAAAGTCTGTTTATTTATTGTCAAGAAATTGTGTAAGACCACACACGATACAGTATCTAGTACCTTTGTAACAGTAATATTCCACTGGGGGAATTCATTTCATAGTTGACTTGTTTCATGTTATCATGAAATGCTGTCAGCTCAGACTGGTGCTGCAAATACAACTGCTTTGGTTGGAGGATAGTGTGAGAAATCAATTCAAGCTAATTTCCAACACACCTTTGTCCACACAGGTATAACCAATTTGTAAATATATTATTTGCAAATATTATTTGTGCATTGCTGAGGAACATTTGCTATTCACCATTTGCATTTGACAGTCTTTTCTACTGTAGTCATCTGTGTAGCAAGAACTGGGTGGCAAAAGTAAAGCTGAGAGTTAATCAGCAATGTATTACATTTGAGTCAAATCTAGCTTAATCACTTACAAAGTATAAGTCTTCTACAAGACGCTTTAAGAGAATGTTTCTGAAAATGTCACCAAGGTTAAACAATCTGCTTAATACTTTTAATTAGATCAGTCATAGTGTATAAATCCTTATTTTTTTCTGTGGAGAAAACTGTCTGCAGTTGTAACATCTATTTAAGCAGCATCTCTCAAAACAGCTTTGATGAATCAACATCGGGTAAAATGCTGTCTTGTGGTTTGTTTTCCTCATCTCTTATCTCCTCTCTACAGTGGGGGAAAAGGCTATATGTTTCATCTTTATCAAAATATCACAGTTGGTATCTGGTTATTTTGGATTTTTTATGACTAAGCTTTTTGTCATTTAAAAGAAGGATTCAGAAATTATATCAGAGAAAAGCAGATGAATGAGTTCTTTTAATGCATTACTCACTTCATGCTCTTATTCTTACTCTATAATCATTTTTGGATTTTTGGAGTTTGTTTCCCTAGCTTTATTTTCCTTTTTTAGGACAGACAATAGTATATAAAGATGTCCAAACACCTTAGATATTCTATTTCACTTTCTCACCTTTGGTTGACTGACTTATCAATATAAAAACAATATGTCAACACATAAACACAGAGAAAATAGGGTAGGCATACTGATTAGACAACACCCAACTCACTCCAGTGGAACAGACACACACACTGGTTGCCTACAATATATGCTTATCAAATCCAAGACTTTTAAAATACATGAATTTCTTCAGCTATAAAAATATTTTGGGATCTCCAGCTGTAGAGGAATTCCTACAACACTGCAGTGTAGAGATCCAAGCATTTATATTTCATATTGTTGTATTCATAGTCAAGTATTCCACAGTAGCTTTTTGCGGTGTAGCTTTTTGTGTGCAATGCTATACATTCTGATTTCTGCCCTTTCTGTTTTCCAACAGCTTGTGTCAATGTGGTGGGTTGATTGACTGCACGTGCTGTTTGTTGTTTAACAGCCTTGGCCAGCTGTTGGTGCTGTCACGGTGCAAAGGTCAGAGTGATGTAATGAGAAAGATGTAGGGATAAAGAGAAGGATTAGAGGAGAGAACAACCCCCACAGGGACACAAATGTAGTGATTACACCCAGATTAATGACACAGCACTCACTGAGTCACATGCACAAACATCCGTGGCATTGGCATTACTTTCACTGAACACATTGTACTTCACTGCATGCACACATGGAAATATCCACCCAAACACAGTTTTTTTATTTTTTTTATTCAGATTTTTATTCAGTCATTCTGCAGGATGTGCATTCCAAAAATGAAAACACATGACAATGAACTGTTGTTGTTTTTTTAGCTGTGCTAAACAGCATTACTACTTTATACCTGTCTGACATGTTTGCTTTCGATGTATTTTAGGGCATCCGTGTTTGTCACTTGCACCAGAACCTGTCCCACTTCCCATGGTAAATTTAGAGTTCAGGTTGCCAGATAAGGCAGCAATATAATTCAAAGACGTGTTGGTCCCATGAGAAGCAAATCCCCAAGGTGAGGAGAGCGCAGAGCTTAACATCACACACCTCCCTGGGTACGAGATCCTCTGTTCTTTCCTTTTCCTCTCCATTTCATTTTCACTGCTTCACTCACTTCACACTTTCTCTCTCACTGACTCACTCTATCTTCTCTGCTTTCCCCTGGCTATCAGCAGTAGGAAAAAGCCAGAGGATCTACGCCTCCCATCTTCCTCACTCCCTTGGCTGTCTTCTCTGGCTCTTGTGTGTGGTGAGGTATGTGAGCTGTGGGAAACATCACAGGATGATGGGTGGTTGGCATCTTTTATACATGCAGACTCCTCCCAGGGATCATGGAGGGGACCACAAGCGCACGTGCAGCACTGTGAATCATGCTAAATGAATAAGTTGAATATTTATTAGGTTCTATGGGTTTCGTATATGCTTTTGGAAGGCATATGTGGAACAAAAACATAGATCATGGACACAGAATGATAAAGAAAAAAAAACATCTGCACAAAATGACATTTTGCAGGAGACGGTCAACCTCTCTTTGTGCTGGTTACTCACTCCTGAGGGGAAATACTGTACCTCACTTCTCACTGGCAGCTGTGTTAGTGAGATAACACACAGTACATGTTGACACACTGCTAATGTGTTGATGTCTATATTATTTCAGATTCCCTTTATGTATTTTGTGTGCTTATCTTTGTGTGTGTATGTCATCTTCCTGTTTATTGGTGACAAATATACTTCAGAACTGGATCCTCTTTTGTCCTAACCTCATATGCAGAGCAAAATGCTGCCTGTGCCACTACTGATAGTAGCTCCCCTTTGCTATCGGATAACTTATCAGTGTGGAGTAGCATATTTTATGTTTAACCTTCACTTGTCGCACCTATGTGCCAAGAACACCTAGAGATAAACTAAAGATAGGCTTACTCTGTCTGGACACAAAATAGCCATAGAGATCATTATGTTGGATAGAGCAAATCCAACATAATGAATTGTATGGAAATATTAAAAGCACTGCAGTGCAACAGGGCGATGTAGTGAGGATCTATGAACACTGATCCTCACTAAAGCTCAAAACAATTTATTTCTCAGAGGATTAAAGCTGTAGCTTACAGGTCGGCTGGAAAAAAAATGACAGAGTTTATGAAGTGAATAGGAAGTGATTGGTAGGAGACATTTGGCCATGGGGGTGTGCTTTAGATGTGTGTATGAGGTTAGCTTTCCATGTCAGTGATAACCTTAAATCAAAAGAAGACGAGAGAGAGACAGAGGGAGAGAGAGAGCTGTATCTGTTCACATCTGCCGGGCTTTCATCCTTGTTTACACAGACATACCCGCTAAGATTTGTATACAAACGTTGCAAAAACATGTACAGTATACTGTACACACTGACATGTGGAGTTTTACTAGTTGTAAAGTTTTGTTTATTATTTGCCCATCGTAATTTTCCACTGCTTCATAACCTCTCTTTTCGCTCATTTACGCTTGTAATAAAGTGTTCTGGTGCATTGGTTCCTGATAGAAACAGTGCTGTGTGGGGACAACAAAGGCGGCAGGAAAAAGGGAGAGGGGTGCCAATACAGGAAAAAGATAAACGCTCTCATCATTTCACATGTACAGAAGTCTGTTTTATGTAGTGGCCTCTGACCTTTTGATCTTTCTGTAGATCAATGAATGGATTTATAGCATTTCATTACATTAAACTGGCCTCTTTAACCTTGAAATGTATGAAAAAAGAAATATGTGCAGCTCCAGAATCAACATCACCATCTGTTACCAAAGATGCTCAGATGGCATCTATCAGTTGGGTCAGTAGCTCCATCCAGCAAATGCCAGCTTCAGTCCCAGAAGAAAAGAAGGGACTTTTGAGATTAACTAAGCTGACAAGTCTCATACATTAGAGTGTGATATATGAATGGCTACAGGGACCATTGGCCAGAGGGTCCAGGGGCCAGAGTAACAGTGTTAAAACTTGACGGAGAGAAGAGAGAGCGCTTTGATGAGGAGGGGAGCTGAACTGGTTCAGAGCCTGTTGCTATGGTAGCCATGTGGAATAAATCAGCAGCATGAATTCCATTCTCAAATGCCTTCAGCACCCCACAGACTCAGGTAGACTTAGAGAGAATTTGAATGAGTATAGTGTCCCAGTGCACCAGAATCATAACCAGTCCTTACTGGATGTACACGATTATGTGTTTTACCAGCATGTAGCCCATTCTATGATGTTAGCCAATAAAGTAACTGTTTTTAATATGGTGTTCATATTACAAGAGAAAATTTCTAAGTTAATTTTAGTTTTATGTACAAGGCTCTCTCTCCTTTTGCTTCATTGGCTCCGCCTTGCAATATGTTTGTGTGTGTGTGTGCAAAGGGACTGAGTATACTTTGTCATTATTGATGGCTAAACCACAGAGGTGACACCAGGGAAGGAAGGTCCATCTTTTTTTAATGGCTGGTATTTATAAGGGGGTATAAGCACACACAGTATTTTTTTATCTTAGTTTAAGAATATTCAAGGAGAATGATGAGTGACGATATAAAGAGACCAAGTGATTTTCTACCACATTATGAATACAGTAAAGACAACAAGGTCAAAACTATAAAGTGAGAACACTTGACATAAATGCACGACATTGAAAAATGAGAGATCCTCCAAACTCTATTTTTAACACAACCACTACAATGCATTTCATTGTAAAATCAGATTGTTTGATGTTTCTGTCATCTCAGAATTAACTGAATATTCATGAAGCTGACTCATCAGTTTTGTTGACACGCTTGGATGGACACCCTAACATTTATTTGTCTTTTTTTTCTTCTGAGCAAATTGTGGTGTACTACATTTCTGTTTGTGGTGGTAATTATGAATCCCATCTGCAACATCATTACAGATAAACAAAAGGGGCGGGGGAGGGGGGGTCAAAAAGGGAGAGCAAGTAATGGAGGGAGAGAAAGGGAAAGAGCAAGGACTGACTTTTTGAATACAGTTACCAGATGTGCACGCAAAGACCACCCAGAATTTTTTTAGATAAATAAAATATACAATACACACAATACTGTTGATACATTTGATCACAAGTAGATGTGTAGGTAGGAACTTAATAATAATAACAATAATTATAATTATAATAATGATTATACCACTTTTAATCTATTGTAACAGTTTTTACATTTGCTTAATTTCTTCCATTGAGAGCATAGTTATAATTAAAACATGCCTCAAATATCCATAAATAGTGGCATTGCAACATCTTACCGTATGCATTGTGGCCATTGTAACCAAACACACCACAGCGATGACCACATTATATTCAAATTAGCAGTATTGTAAAGCTCCAAGCATTTTTCACTGTACAAAAACAACACGCTATATTTTCCAGTTTACGACATCTAAACAACTACAGAACTCAAAGTAGAGACCAAGAAAATAAGTTACTATAGTACCAAAAAAGATTAGAAGGCCATTACTTTTAACATAGTTGTTCTCTCATAGTAGATACAGTAAGAGGTTTTCATATTAAGCCATTGAATGAAAGGTGGAGCAGAGGACTCATATAACAGTCTCTGTGTGGATTGACAGCTGGGTTGGGCTAGGTCAGTCCACAGGAGCTGATATATTATATTCTGTCTCTTCAGATCAGAGGCAATGTCGCTTAATCAGTCATCCATCTCCTCCCCGGGCCTCTGCTCTGTGCTGACACTGACATTCATAGTATTTATCCAAGGTCTGCACTGGATAATCAGTTTACACCACACAAAAAGGAAAGAAATTGCTTTTTAAAATAATTGGAAACATCACAGTCAAGCCACTGAGTGATAAATGTAGCTACAAAAGCTAAGCAACCTGCTACTGTTGTTTTTCAGTTACTGCTCTTGTTGAAAGCAAAGTGAAAACCTTTTACATGGTGCAAACACTGAGTGAGTCTGACCTTTAGACTGTATGTGTGTGTGTGTGTGTGTGTGTGTATGGGTGTGTGCATGTACAGTCAGTCTCTGTTCTCCTCAGGTGTCCAAGGTGTGCCTGGGCGCTCGGTGGGAGTTCTCCTCTGTTCTCCCTTTCCCTCTCTTCTCGCCACCCGGAGGAACATACTTCCTTCTTGTCTTTTTTCGTTTTTTATCTGAGCACCACACTCTCTCACAGTACTCTTCTACTCTCTGGGCATCCCCGTAGCCAATCAGCTGGAGAAACTCCTTGTACCACAGCCTGGAGTTGGGGCCTGGGACTAAGGATGGCACCAGAGCCCTCGGGCTGATGCTGGGGCCCGGTTGGAGCCCTATGGAGGAGTGGCAAGAAGCTGCAGCTTTTTCTCCCTCCCTATCATTAGCCCTGTGGATCGCTGACTCTACCCTCTCCCCTCTTAGCACGTGTAGAGAGGTACGCGATAATGTGTGCACGTATCCATGTTCCACAGTCTGGCACACATACACACCAGCGTCAGAACTCCTCACTCGTAAAAACAGCAGCCCATGGGAGGTCAGGATAACCCGCTCATCACCTCGAACCTAAAGGAGGAAAGAAAGTGATGTAGCCATTATTTAAGTGTAGCAATTCAGACATTTGCTGCACTGCACTGCATTAGTTCTTCTCCCAAGAGAAATTTTAATTAAAAAAACAACAGGACTAAACTCAGCAAAGGATAAATTAAGGAACGGTAGTTCTTTAAAAGTGCAATCAATACAGTGACTCTGTATTTAAGTTTCTGTGCAGATTTCTGTTTGCTGCAATATACGCTGCAAGTTTAAATATAAGGTTTAGATCTAAAGGTTTGCGATATAAACATTTAAAATGCATTTCCCAAGGTTGTGAGATATATTGCACTGATTTAAGTCACCATCCCTGTATCAAAGAGAATGGAATTTTGTTTGTGGTGCTCTACACATTGAAAAATTAAATATAAATATCCAACAACACAATCCCTCTCCCAGTTACTAATGATAGTCCACAAACCTCACTATGTAAATGTAAATAATTTACTGCTTTGAGCGCCATGAATGAAATTCCGTTCACCTCAATTGCACTGAAGTAGCAGCAAAAATCTCTGTCAAGTCAAACTATCATGGCTAGACAGATCTATAGGGGTAGTTAACTAACTATTAAAGTTTCAGTACTTCACCTCGGCTCTGCTACTAAATTTTTTTCCCCAGAGTTTTGTAGCTTCTTGTGTCTGTGTCTGTAGTGCAATATTTTTTCAGTTCACATTTGTATTTATTTCACGTACAGGTCTATTGAACTCACCTCGTGTTTCACTACTCCTTTCTGCAAGAACCAGAGGACCTTTGCTTGAAGCGATCGAGGGACACACTCAAGTAAAGTGCTGTTGCTCTCCACTCCATACACCAGCCTCTCCTCAGCTTTGTGCCATTGTTCATCTGCACACAAACACACAAACACACAGATCATAAAATAAGGTGAGACGAGAGAGATGGCTGCCGTGACCTTAGAGTGAACATTGAGTAGATTGCTCTACCCCTATCTGCCACAGTGGGAGCACACTAACCTCTCTCAGATCTAACCACAATGGTTCATATTTTTTCATAATTAGCTTGGTGCTTCCCAAGAACTGCATCATTTCCTTGCTTGTACACAGTATTTGTCTGACAAAATCTTGCAATACAAGTAAATATACACAAGCATGCCCATGCACAGACACACACAAAAACACACATCACACAGTCATTTTATACACTAACCATCAATTTGCAGCCCATTGCACAGCTGGACGGCGTTGCCATGGCGAACATCCTGCCGCCTGAATCGTCTGCTGAGATTGGAGCGGGCGAAGTAGAGAGAGAGAGTAATTTTGAACATGTGATGAAAGTGCAAAAGGAAAGGAAAGAAAGAGGAAGGGAGGTGATCAAGTGCATACTGATAGGCATTACATAACACCTGGCTGTCATGTCTCTCAGAGCCTGTGATACTGACTTGATAAACCAGCCTCAGAGCATTGTGACATTCAGGGCGAGATGCAACAGAAGTGTGCCTGTAAAGGTGTGAACAGCTGATGATATCACAGAAATACATTTTCAGGGAGAAAAAATGAGACCTGTCTCAGAGTGTGTGTGTGCTGTTACCTCTTGGTATAGATTCCAGCAGGGTAAAATCTGGAGCAGGTGAGACCATCCCAGGCACAGTAAGGGTCTCTGGCCAAACAACAATCAGCACATTCTGACCCATAGAGGTCACACTGATGTAGTCTGACCTGGGCCACACCCACTTCTGACCCCACATATAGCTGTTGCTGTGGAGCCAATGTCGAGTATTAATATCAAGACAATTGACAATTTGAAATATATACAAGCAGTACAGTATATAGATGAGTGACTATTTAAACTTAATTGTCTCTGAAACCCTCTCCATTCTCCCATAGGTGTTCAATGTTTAGTTGTTTGATTGATTCAAATAATTTTTATTCTCATCAAACCCTTCAATGCCCCCTCATGTCCTGTATTAAAGCATCTGTATTACTTATGTATCTTCACTCCTTTAATTTGTCACCTGCCTGTATTTATGTATTGTGTGTATATATATGCTTTCTGTCTTTACCTGATGTACCTGGGTTACATTGCAACAACCTGTCTACAGTACATATTAATTATGTCAATACAAAGTGTTGCAATGTTAACATCTTGTGGCTAAACAACAGAATTGCATGAAGGAACAACAGTATAGGGATTCAAATGGTCATTTTACCCTTTTAGGTGATATTATGATCTCTCTTATTGGTGCTGGCACCTGTAAATAGAAAACATGTTGCTGTTATTCAAAATTAATGTGGTCAGTCGTTCATCATGCTATAAGAATAAAGTAACAAGAGTTGGCATAAAGCACTTTGTCACTACAGGGCTTTCCCCATGCTTCTTTCCATCCCAAATCAAGAATTAATTAAAATTGCAGCAGAAATTGTAGACAGTTTTCTATATCTAACTGATTTAAGTATAATTGATATATTTAAATCATTCTCAAGTCATAAGTGTGCCCCTCTTAAGGTAGAAACGGTGCAAATTAGCAAGGGTTTCAGAACAATGTCTCTTATTGTAAAACTACAAATGTGTATGCAGTAAAATCCCAAATTTTATTGGTTACAAAGTGTTCTTTGCTTTCACATTTGTTCACTAAAAATAGAGTACCTTGAATACTTGCAGCTCTTCCAGCAGCACCTCCTCCATAGTGTCTGTGTCTTTGTTGTAGATGGTGATGACTTTCAATACCACAGAATCATCTAACGGAAGAAGACATTAATGTTACATACACAAAGGTTTTACAGGTTATTCAGAGTAACTCTTGTTTGTCTTTCATTTTGTACATAGTAAGTGTATTCTTCATGCATGACTTATAATGCATAAAGAATAATAGTGTACCAGTGCCAATGTAGAGAACATGGTAGTGTCCATCCTGTGCTTGGACTCTGTCCACAGCGATCTGGGTCAGCTTTCTCCTGCCTGGCTCAGTCTGCAGCAGGATGGGTCTACGGTGCTGGGGAAGTACTGGGCGATACATCACAGGATGAGAACGCACAAACCGCAAAACCTCATCCGGAAACTCCTTAGAGCTGGAGAAGCCACCTCCGTTCACTTTACTGGCACACTGTTCAAGAGATGGTGTGACAGAAATAGAGAGAGTAAAGGAAGGGGCAGGGATGGAGACAGAAGAGGCCATTTGCTGCACTGGCACTTTACGCTGTGTGAAAAAAAAAAAGCTGACATGTCTGGCTCAGACTGTCCCTGTGTGACCTACCAAGGTAGCTACAACAGTGCTAACATTCACCAGAGCTGTCGTACATGCTCTCAACACTGTCCTTCTTAAAGGACGTCTGTCGTAGACACAGACTAATGGAGACTGCTGTGAATGCATAATGTTGTGGTGCATTTAGACTCACAGATCCAGGTCGAGGGTAGGGGATTCTGTCCTCATAAGGTGTCCAATGATGCTCAGGTCTCTCTCGGTAGGCAAAGGGACCATTAAAGGCTGCTCTGATATCATCCATGTGATAGACACACACTGCATAGCCTTTAAAAACCGTGCTGCAAAAGAAGGTTTTATTAGTGATTTGAAACAAACTGTAAAATGAAATGCTGACGTCACTTTTCACTCACCTTGTTGTGCTAAAGAGGCCAAAGATTTCTGGATTTTTCCCATCCTTATTCTTGAGCACAAACACATCCTCTGAGACACAAAATATACAATTTAGCTGTTGTGTGTTAACAGGGTGACATCTTTCTCATTCTTCAGCAGTCAGAATCTGTTTTCTATCCAGATGGTTAGATGAGTCTTTGTGATTTTTGGAAATCATATTGTTAATATTGGTTACCACTACTATAGCTCAGAATACAAAAAAATACTCAATAACAAAGTCACCTTCCAAATTTTGAGGGATGTAGATGCAGGTGTGTGTGTAAACTCAAAGTTTAACAGTAAATAAATAAGATTCAAACAGTCTCTTCGTAGTCCTACCGAGTTCATCGAAATGTGTATCAATGCCATTTGGTCCAGCCACAGAGCAGATAAGACGAGTTTTCAGGAAAGAGCTCCATCTATTCACCAGCATTCTCTGTCCTCCTTGGTCATTCTGAGAGATGAAGGCAGATATAGAATGTGAGTGCAGTACTTTGGCTTTGGCTGATCATACCAAGAAACCTTTCTACAACATTAGCATTCTCACCGCACAGACTCGCCCAACGCGAGTATATACTGCCTTGTTCCCTCCCTCAGCATCCATCTCCCTCTCAGTGAAGAAGAAGTAAACCTTATCATCATCCTTGTCATCGTTGTCAGGAATAACTGCTGACCCCACAAATTTAGGTTCTGAAGAGAGAAGGAGTTGTAACAAAATGAGTGGAATGAAACATAAATTAAAAAGCCCTGGTAGTGAAGGTAGCAGTAGTGATTTGGTGCTGGAGCAATTTGTTATAAACTGTTAATTTTGATTTTCCTTCTCATTTTAGGGGTTTTATGGTAGGAATCTCCTATAAAGAATGTAATACTTGTTATGACAGTCTGACAAAATATCTGTATGTGAAGATATAAATTATTTTAAACAAAAGCTCATGAATACTAAAAAATAGAAAACATTTACACTATGAATCATTAGATCAATAGCATCTAATTTTCTGAACTTTCATACAATTTTAATATATTTTTGAAAACATACTCAGTTTGTTATCACATACTATATCTGTTGGCACTGCTTTGCATTTAAAGGGAGATGATTCTTCCTGTAGTGTACACTAACCATTCAGTTGCTGCCGGTCGTCTCTTTCAGTGCGTGTGTAGGTCTGGTTGTTAAGTCGACACAAAGCACCGTCATTCTCCCAGTAGTCGGTGTACAGGCCAATATACAGCTCTCCTCCTAATGTATACACACGTACACACACATAAACAAACACAAAAAATGTAAATTATTAAGAATGCACACCCTTTTGCTGTAATTAAAATACTGATATAAGAAAACACCACAAGATGGCACTATTGACTTGTTAAATTCTATTCAATAAAGACTTGCATGCATTTATCCAGCTGAAATGAAAACTTTCATTCGTCTCACAACTGTGTTTTTAGTTTAGATAATGGTGAGATGATGTATGATGGAGTGAGCAATGTCTTACTGGAGAGCGTTGATGTGCAGGGACTGTTGGGGTCATATGGACAGCGTCCTCTGCCACTCATTATGCTGTCTCCTTCAAGAGCAAACTGCTTGTCCTAAGAGCAACGCACAAAACACACACACAGATACAGGCGTAGTTATGCATACACAAATATGGATAACGCAAGCACACACTCAAAAGCTGTAGCCTAGCAAAGGCTTTAACAACATCCAGACAAACCTCAGTAGGTGATGCGTGGGGAGAGAGATTGAGGAGAATAAGAGAGAGGAGGGATCTGAAAGTGATGGATGAGAAGGAGGAAGAAAGATAGATGAGACAAGGAATGATGGATAACCAAATGAAGGACTGTCATCTGAATGTCTTTAACCAACAAGTCACTGTTCTTATATCATAGTGAGTTCACTGCGTCTACTCTTCTGATCTCTTTGCCCTGCACAGCAGGTGACAGAAACACACACACATACATACATACCCTGAATTCCCTCTAGATCCACAGCTCATATGTTGTAGGCCACCACAGTGTTTACGACTGTCACTGGCAGATCAGAGGGGGTGTCATATATTGATTTATGAGTAGCCAAGCAACCCTACTGTGCTGTGACTACCGTCCTGTGTTTGACTGTAACAGAAGTCAGTTTCTGGGTTAAACTCATCCATCATGTAATGTGGTCTATCAAAACCAAACGGAAAATAGGTAAAATAGGCTGAATCAATATTAATCTACATGAAGTACTCTGAAATGTGTGCTGTTTTTTATGTCTGGGTCAGGGGTGCATTAATATTTTATTTGTTAGTCAGTGGTTGCCTTGGTGAATTGCAATAGTATTTCCTATAGTTTATCGTTGTCTAAATATTATTCGGCTTAAAGGTAATTAAAGACTATATGTGATTACATGTAGTACACCAAGTATCTAAATTATGTGAGGCAATCTTGTAGAGACATTTGGTTGGTTATACTGATCCAGTTTTGCTCACTCTGTTAGCATTCCAATGGTATGAGAGATGGCTGAGCTTGGTTCCTGGCCTGGTCGACCTACTGGACCAGTGTTGGAATGCAGGGTGGAAACCTTCTCCCCTCCTCACTCTCTAAATACATCACAGACACACACACACACACACACACACACACACCTAGGACCGAGTTTGACACCTGGGAGGTACCGTATGTGTCATACTGCAGACAAACATACTCGCACAGATGTATGTAGGAAATTTTGCATGGACACCAGTATGCACGCAAAACATTCCAGTGGGCTCAAATCCCACTAAGGCACACATTTAAATTGACCCCTGAGTGAGACAGAACATTAGTCTTCCTCAAACATGCTCCTACAGAAAGCAGCACCTGGCCTATTCTCTCTTTTTACCCGGGCCGAAGTAGTATTAGCTTTATTTAATATAAATTATAACTTTGTGCCAAATAATTTGTCTAACCTCTGGGAAAACAAAAGATAACTGAAACTCACTTCCATCTCCACATCACATCACTCTTGCTAGGAGAATAACAGTAGCATGTGTTAAGAGTCTGACAGCACAGTGGTCCACACTGTACTAACAATTCTAGGAGCTCTAAATAATGTAGAGTAGAGAAGCACAATGGGAAATCTGGA